TCCTGCTTCCAGATGGCCCCAGTGAGCTTTTCATCTGCCAGCTTGGGTCACATGTTGGTCCCTGACCCAGGGAGCTACAATGCTTTGGTTGGCCAAGCTTGGGTCATGGGCCTACCTCACTCAACCTGTATGCAAAAGTATGTAGTGGTCTAGCACAGGTGGGGGACCCTGCTTCAGTCCCAGCCTTTATCCACAGGTGACCCCAAGGGGTCTGCTCCAGAGCTTCAGGGTTATAAGACGTGGGACACACAGAGCACACATACACTCCCACACAACATCCACACACCCCACGAAGCTACTTGAGCCCACAGTCAGGCCAGAGACAGGTGCACAGCAAAGTGGGTGCACAGGGACTCGCAGACAGGCTGAAGAGCTGAGTCTGGTTGGGAGGCCGATGGGGAAGAGCTGGCACGATAATTTCCCTCTCTCTACTCCCCTCCCCTCCTCCCCCCCATCTCCATTGCAACCTCCGCCTCTGTGGCTGAAGCGATTCTGTTGCCTGAGCTTCACGACTAGCTGGGACTACAAGCACCTACCACCACGCCCAGCTAATTTTTTGTGTTTTTAGTAGAGACGGGGTTTTGCCACATTGGCCAGGCTGGTCTCGAACTCCTGACCTCGCGATCTGCCCGCCTTGGCCTCCCAAACTGCTGAGATTACAGGTGTGAGCTACCGCGCCCGGCCTCTTCTGGATGGTTTTTGAAGCGGGGGAGGGCGGGGAGGGAGAGGGCCATTGCTCCTACTGTGGGGGCAGCCCCCTCCACGGGATTCCCCGTACTCCCGGCACAGCCTGTCACTGCTCTGTCTGGGGCTGGAGCTCCTGGAGAAGGCCACACTGCTCTCACCACCTCGCTCCAGATTCCCTTTGAACTGCTTTTTCCACAGTCTCCCCAGGCGCCACTGAGGGCCTCCAGTCTTCGATGGGCTTGGGGCGCCTGGACCCTTCAGGAGTCGCTTGGCTGTCTTTCCCCAGCCTCCTCCCAACTGCTCGTCGCTTCCCACATGTCTTTTCAGAATCCTCAGCTCTCTGCTTTGGGGTTGCCCAGCAGTGTCCCCCGGCTCTCCTGTCACCGGGTGGGCGAGGAAGGGAGTCTGGCGAGGGACGGGGCTCTCAGGTCGCAGCTCGACTTCCGAGCCCCTCCCGCTGGCTACGGTTGCGCCCCGGACCAAGAGGCGGGGACGGGTTCTACCTCGAGAACACTGGGAATGATGGGCCAGTGGCCTAGGCAGGCCACTTCCAATTGTGAGGCATCCCGCCTGGGGCAGGGTAAGTACCCGCGGGCGTGCTTCGTTGGGCGGTAGCCGCTCTGGAGGCCAGGGCGGGAAGGGGGTCCAGTCTCCTCCCCCTCTTTTGCCGGGGCTTTCAGTAACCCCTACATCCCTCGCGCCCGGAGTTGGAGCCCTGGGGGGTTCTGCCCCGTGTGCACTTTCTGGGGTCCTACGGCTGCGGTCCCTGCTCCGGGCTGTGCTTTTAGACACTGCCTGGCCTTGGGCGGCCCTTTTCCCCACTCCCACGTGGCGATGTCCCTGGGCATGGGCGACCCCTCAGTGCCCCCAAGAGTCCTGGGTCTCGCCCCTACCCCAAGGCAGGCTATATTTGGATTTATTTGGAGAAATTCTCCCAGCCCAGAGGGCCTCTTTCTGTAGCTCTGGCTTTCCTGGAGTGGTAAGGTTTCCTGGGACTCTCAGGCCTGACAACTTGGCATCACCAGATTCTCTAACCATGTCTGTCCATGACTTGAACTCCTTTTCTTTTAGAAAGATCTTTGCAAACCCCTTGTGGGCGTGCCACCTCCCATGGCCCCTAACACCTTTTGCCTGGGCTTTGGGCTTCAGTAGGAAAGGCTAAAAGGAAGTGATGTCTGGCTGGGTGGGTGGCTCAGGCCTGAAATCCCAGGACTCTGGGAGGCCGATGTGGGTAGATCACCTGAGGTCAGGAGCTCAGACCCGCCTGGCCAACATAGTGAAACCTGTCTCTACTAAAAATGCAAAAATTAGCCAGGCTTGGTGGAAGGTGCTTGTAATCCCAGCTACTCAGAAGCCTGAGGCCGAAGAATTGCTTGAACCTGGGAGGCGGAGATTGCAGTGAGCTGAGAACAGGCCACTGTACTCCAGCCTGGAGGACAGAGTGAGACTGTTTCAAAAAAAAAAAAAAAAAGTGATGTCTAGTGCCTGGGGATTTTTCCAAGGGAGTGGTCAAGGAAGGCCCCATGGAGGAGGGGACATTTTGGGTGGGAGATTGCTATGCAGAGCAGGAGGGTGAGGTTTCAGACCATAGGGAGAGCCAGGGAAAAGTCACCAGGTAGAATGAGCTGGCATTATTAGGAAGAAAGCAGGGAGGGCTGTGGCCCTCCCATGTGAGTGGAAGGGAGTGGCTGTAGTGTAGAAGGCCTGAAGGCTCCCCACAGACCCAGTAGGCCCCTGAAAGACCCAGACCCCTGTAGAGGAACTCATCCCTTGGGCTTAGGGCTGGGCCTGGAGGCACTGTGTCCCCTGTGATTGTCAATTTCCCTAAAGATAGCCCAGAGCTGCACAGCCTGAATCCCTGTGATGGTCAGTTTCCCTAAAGATAGCCCAGAGCTGCACAGCCTGAATCCCTGTGATGGTCAGTTTCCCTAAAGATAGCCCAGAGCTGCACATCCTGAATCCCTGTGATGGTCAGTTTCCCAAAAGATAGCTCAGAGCGGCACAGCCTGAATCCCTTGTTGGCCTTTTCTCTGGCTGTCCCAGCACCCACCTGGATACTTGACTCCACACCCCAAAGAAAAGAAGTGAACCTGGGAACACCACTGCCAAGGTATGGGATTATTTGGGAAGCAGGAACTGAGGAGGTGGTTACAACATGAGGGGAAGCAGCAGACAGAACCTGACCACTCCTGTGGCTGCCTGGGCTGGTCTCCTGGGACTGCGGGGCGCTTGGCTCAGGCTTGTCCTGTCCTCCCCACTCTTTCATCTCAGCCCCCTCTGAAGTCTCTGCCCTGCCCTGACCCCCCACACCCCAGCATACAGCTCCAAAAACAGCTAAACAACTCGCACACCCACGGGGCATCGCCTGGGAGGGCAGCCGAGTCCTCCTACTTCAGCCCCATTTGAAAGATGAGGAAATGAGAGTCTAGTCCACAGTGGGTCTCCCTGATCAGGTGCCCCGCTTTCCCTGGGCCTGCTTACCGGAGGGTGGGAAGTGGGCAATGCAGGAGGGAAGATTGCAGGGTGGGACCACTGCACTGGGGAAGGAGTCAGACTAGAGAGGGGGACAGGGTCTGGTTGGCTCTAGCAGCTGCATGCCCTTTCTGCTCAGGGGACTCACTCAGCCCGGGGCACTCCCCAGCCCAGCCTCCAGGTAAGAGGTCACTGAGTTGGGTGGCAGCAGGGCCCGGGGATCCCCCTGTTACGACAGCAGTCATGGGATGCTGACTCACTGCCGGCCAGACCACCTGATCTCGACACCGCTGGAGGAGAGGGCCCTGCCAGGGGGTTCCCGCCTTGCCTTGTTTACCTCCAGGAGGCCTTGGCCTCTCGTGGGGGCAGGGCAGCCGCTGGGGCAGCAAGGTGTGTCGGGAAGGACCGGAGCCGGGGTCTTTACCCCAGCTTCCCAAGGACCCCCCTTCTGTGCTTCCTTTTCCCCTCTAATGTCTTCACCTGCCTCCAGTCCCTGTTGAAATTTCTCACGATCCCAAACGGGGCCAAATGGCATGAAGGCAAAGGAGCTCCTTTTTGGGGTGAGTGGGGCTCCTTGAGTGCTTCCTCAAAGCTGTGTTCTCAGAGCGGGAGGACTTTCTTTTTGTCCCCCACTCCATTCAGACTGGGCCTTAGCTGAGAGCTGGGGCAGGAAAGCCAGCCTGGTGGGACCACGTGGCTCTCAGGCGCCGGGGCTGCTGAGTCACGCTTGGCCAGCACCTGTCCGCAGGCCGCAGCCTCTGCCAGCACGCCCCTCTGTGTCCCCTGCCGCTGTTTGCAAGGCAGTGGCTCCAGCAGGTCATAGGACACTTTCCACTGTCTCCCGCTGGATGCAGGCAGAGGCCTGAGCCCTCTCTCCACAGGGCTGCTCTGGGCAGGGTGGAAGCCTTGCCCACTTGGGAGTCCTCCCGGAAGGATCAGTCATGCCTGTGGACCAGCCCCTGCTGTGCATACACCCACACATCACCTTCACACCTGACTGACCCCATCCAGCCACCTTTCCCTCCCTCTGGGTTTCCCACCCTGGGATGTTGGATGTTTTTCCAGGTCCTGAAAGCCCTAGCCTGAAATGGCATGAATTGGACCCAGCAGATTCTGACCTCTTGGGAGGCTCCGTCGAGTGACCACCCCTCCTGCCCCTCTCCTTGGCCCAGTACTGATGGACAGGTCACTCTGGTGGCATAAAACAGTGTTTCTTTCTTCCTAGCTGAGGAGGCTGTTGGATGACCGTCTTGGCTCCCCACAATGCCAGTGGGCCTGAGCTCCTGCAGGGCCATGGACACTGCCTGCTGAATTGAGAAGTCCATGAGTTGTCTCTTGGGCCATAGTGAAGGCTTGGCGACCACTCCATTCCTATTAAACTGGGAGCTGCTCTGATGCTCAGGTTAGTCAGGTGTCTGTCCCTCAACCTAGTTAGGGGCCCATCACCCAGGATGCTATGGGCTGTAAGCATGTTGCCCCCAACTCACATCCTCGTCCATCCCCTCCCCCACCCCCACCCGGGGACAAGTTGCTTGTTCTGGCCAGCAGTGCCTACTGGGCGGCCTAGCAGCCCCCTGGTATGGGGACTGTGTTCCTCTCCCCCTGCACTGGGTACCCCCAACTGAGGATATTGCTGAGTCACGGCCCGGCCCAAGCCTGGGAGGGGCTAGGGACGGGACCCCCGCCAGTCCCTTGATCCCAGGTGCAGAGTCCGGAGCCCAGGCCTAGAAGAGTGCCAGGGCCGGTCTCTTGGGGTCCTTGGTGCACCCAGGCAGTGAGGAGAGGGGTCAGCAATGAAGGGGCTAAGGAGACTCGGAGCGACGGGTAGCGGGGAAGGGGGCAGTAGCGAAGGGGCCTCTGCAGGGCGACTCTCGCGCCGCGGCGGCGACGGCGGGGGCTGGGCGGGCGTGACAGACTCCGCCCCTCGTGAGGCGGGGCGGGGCCTCCGTGCTCGCTATAAAAGCCGCGCGTCGGTTGCGCCGGGTACAGCCGGTTTTCCGCCAGCTGACTGTCTGTTATGGCGTCGCTCACAGTGAAGGCCTACCTTCTGGGCAAGGAGGACGCGGCGCGCGAGATCCGCCGCTTCAGTTTCTGCTTCAGCCCCGAGCCCGAGGCAGAAGCCGAGGCCGCAGCTGGTCCGGGGCCCTGCGATCGGCTGCTGAGCCGGGTGGCAGCCCTGTTCCCCGCGCTGCGGCCCGGCGGCTTCCAGGCGCACTACCGTGGTGAGCGGGCCGGAGAGCGGCGGGGGCTGTGACGCAGGCCGGGCCCGGCCTCCTGCAAAGGGGTGGCTGCCCCCTCCCTTCTCGGCGATACTTGGCGGGACGGGAGGGGGTCTGCTCTGGCTGCTCCCTGGGTGGCGGTGGCCTGCATGGGTCCCCAGTTCGGCCTTGGGGCGACTGGAATGGTGACCCAAGCCGGGCACCGCTGCTCAGGGCCGGCCCTGTGGGACCTGGGGCGGTGGGGCCCTGCCGGCCGGCAGCTCGGGCCTGGGAGCGTCAGACGCCACCCCTCCCCCTCCGAGGTCTTGCGAATTTGGGCAAGGACGCGCCCGGGCGTCCTCTCTGTCTCTCCGCGGGAACGGGGTGGTCAGGCAGGCACTCGGGTTACTGTGACATCTTGCTGCGCCAGGTGGTGGGTTCAGATAATGCCCCGGGGGAGCCCGGGGAGCGCCGGCGGATGGGAGGGAGTGACGCGCATAAACAAGCGCGGTGGTGTGGACGACTCGCGCGCGCCGCGACCGCGCGGGGGAGGAGGGCGCTGATTGCCAACAGAACGCTCCAGGCCAGGCGGAGTACAGATGTTATCCCACTGGCAAGTGGAGAGAGGGACAAGACGAGAACATTCTTCAGAAGTGTTGGTGTGGTCACAGAAACCCAGGAGCTGTTTCCTGCTGCGCTGGTGTGACCGGTGGCTGCTGGGGGTGGGGTTAGGGAGGTGGTTGTGGCCAGGAGGGAGGGAGGTGGCCAAGGCCGGCCCCTGGGAGGGAGCAGTGCTGGGACCTCCCTCCGGAGTGCTGCCAGCCTGCCAGGCCTTCTGTTCTTAAAAAAAATTGTGATGTTGAGTCGTATCTGACATAAGGGTTCACCCATTTTGTGTACAAGTCAGTGGTTTTCACCATCATCATCGGATTGTGGACCATATTCAATCTGAGAACCTTTCATCACCTTATAAACGCCATAACTTTTATCATCCCCCTATCCAAATGCCCCCAGAAACCACTAACCTCCTCTGTATCTATTCATCTTGCAACCCTGGAAATTTCATGTAAATTGAATCATACAGCGTAGTCTTGCAAGTGGTTCCTTTCACTTAGTGTAATGTGTTCAATCTTGTGGCACATATCAGTACTTCATTTTTTTTTTTTTTTTTTTTTTGTTTTAATTTTTTTTTTTTTTTTTTTTTTTTTTTTTTTTTTTTTTTTTTTTTTTTTTTTTTTGGGCTTTTTAGTACTTCATTTTTTTTTTTTTTTTTTTGGCTGAATAATATACTGTTGTATGGACAGGCCACGTTTTGTTTACCCGTTCATTAGTTGATAGACATTTGGGTTGTTTGCGTCTTTGGGTGCCACACCTGTTCCCATGGTGGATGGTGAGGTTTGGTCCGTGAGGTGGTGCTTTAAAGCCATTTGAGCTCACCTGTATCTGTCACAACTGGAGACTACATACAAATACTTGTTTTTTTAGCTTTGTTATGGAAGGAAGCAGGCGGATGCACTTGTCTCCTTTACTCCTAAGCCACCAAGGCCTTTGTGGGGCTGGGCCCCTCAGGAGCAGGTCACAGGCAGGGATCTCCCATGCGTGAAGATGGACATGGGCCTGGTCGGATGCGGAATGAGGTGGCATGTTTCTGAAGGGCCAGGTGGCCCAAGGCTAAATAAGTGCAGCAGCTGAAGCCTCTGCTGCTCCTATGCACAGGCCCTCTGTCCCCTGCATGTGGCTGTGGTCCAGGGCCCAGGTTGGAGCACTCACCTTCCAGGAGGTGCCAAAGCGAGGGGATAGTCTTGCCTCTTGCCCCTGCCCTCTGTGGCCCAAGTAGGTGTGCTTCAGTTTATAGCCCTGTCAGCGTCCCTTTCATACTGGCATCAGACCATTCCACAACTTATGTCTAGCTGAGAACCCCTGGGTGCTCACGTGCTGTCTTTTATTAAACAATCTAGATGAGGACGGGGACTTGGTTGCCTTTTCCAGTGATGAGGAATTGACAATGGCCATGTCCTATGTGAAGGATGACATCTTCCGAATCTACATTAAAGGTAAGGGGCTGCTCTGGGGCTGCCTGAAGCTAGCTCAGCTTCCACTCATCTCCCTGCTGAGTAAAAAATTGGGCTTGATGTTCCACCAAGGAAGGGGTCAGGAATTTGAGGACTGTTTAAAACAGGGACATAGAGCCGGCCGGGCGCGGTGGCTCAAGCCTGTAATCCCAGCACTTTGGGAAGCCGAGGCGGGTGGATCACGAGGTCAAGAGATCCAGACCATCCTGG